TTAATAAAATCCAACAAAACTGTTCCAGTAACCTGTTCTGAAGCATTCCTTTACAAACTAGCAACCTTCTGTCCCTGGGCACATATTGTTCTTTCCATCAACATTTTATATGGAAGAGCTAAATGGTCCATGGTCCAGCCAGTGATTCTACATACATGGACTGTTATATAGAAGATATTGGCTTGAATCTCTGCAGATCTCCCACATAATAGGTAAATGCTTTTACTTTTGAGCTGAGTTGCAGATGGATGATGGCAGTGTAGTGGCAACCTATTCCACTAAAGTCTAAAAAGAATTATAACATTTATTATTTAAAGAAAGGATAAAATCATGATCTTCAGGAGGAATTTTGGGGCTGGGAACTCCAAGGCAGAGGCAGATGTATCCTGGAAGTACACATTAGAGCCTGAGCTTGGAGAGGGAAAGAACGATGGCATTTCTTCCATAGAGACTTTTTTTGCCTAAAGGAGGCCAGAGGAGGCCAGATGTAGAAGTCAGGCATTCCAATGCTCATTATTTTGGTACCGCTACTTTTAGACCATTGATCATTTTTGACCTAACAATGTCTTCTATTCTTAACAGAAATGAAGATTTCCTGAAATAGATTACATGAGATGCCTCAAGCCAGAGCTGTGATCAAGTTCTGCTCTCAGTTACATTTGTGCAACTCTGTACTCAGTTCAGAAAGGGAAATTAGGAAGTGAAGGATTGCATTACGAGTGGAAGGTTTTGCTTTAGTGGTTTTGTAGGCTTTTGGTTTTTTTTCTGTTTGTTTTGTTGTTGTTGTGTTTTTTTTTTTTTAATGTGAATTAATAGAAGCATAATCTGTGATATACCTAGCATCATTCACTCAAATTGCAGTCCTCACTTTCTGGTGATACCGGTAAACTCAATGCATTAAGATGTGTGATATTTGATATTTTAGATACTTATTTATAACTAGAGGCAGAAAGAAAGTAATGAATCTTGAAATTATTCTGCCTTAATTTGAAAAAGTCACCTAAAAAGAAAGAACTGCAACCCCAGTGTTTTGGGTTTTTTTGTTTTATTTTTAATAAGCTGTAATATGAATGACGGCTGATAGTTGGATTCAGCATTTAAAGCAGTCCTTGGGCAGGATGTAAAGTTATTTTATCTATTCCTTAAGACCACTGTCAGGCAGATGCCAATTTTAGAATTTTCTCTCCATCCAAATTTCTCCTCTAAACCTCATTTTCAAGGGACGTACACACACAGTTGACAACAATGTTTCTTATAGGCAGAACTGGCATAGCAACTCTTTTTATTTTGGTTGTCTAAAATTTATTATAAAAAGCTTACTGTCATGTATGTGAGATAAGAAACAGGCCAATGACACTAGTGACCGAGCTTTTACTCTGAGGTCATTACATGTAGTAATGCATTTCTGGCTGCCCGGGAATGGGACAGCTACGTTACATGCTCTCTGACTACCCCTGACAGAGCAAATCATGTCACAGACCCATCCTCACGTTGAGGTCACTGGATTTCTTCCTGCCTTAGATAATATTTGGTCTTAAAATTTAAGTAGTATCAGTTCTGGAATGATATGGATGTTTTGCTGTCTTGTAACTGCTGTGAATGCTGTTTACAGTACAAATAAAGGGAGAATTATTAGAGTTGAATATTTTATAGTCATGTAATTTTTTTTTTTTATTTTTTTATTTTTTTTTTTTACATTTTGTTATTCTAATTGGGAAAAGCATGTGTTTGAAAGTTGGGAAATAATACATTTTGGTATTATCTGTGCAGATTGATTCTTACCCTCATATACAATATATTTTACGTTGATACAGATGTTACTTATGTGCTTCTGCAGGACCAGTTCTGCACAGAGCATGGAGGAATACATGGGTACAATAAAGATAAACAAAATATTAGAGATTGACCCTTCCTTACATACTACAATATTTGGTTTCAGACCTGCCCTTCACATCTGGTTCTTCTCCACTAGTTTGAGAAACCATTTTACTATTCAGTGTCTTAATCCCCCCCCGCCAAAAAACATTTAGACATTGTTCCCAAGTCAGCTCCCCCCCCACCCCCTTTTGGATTAAGTTAAAGCAATTTAACTCTTTAATTTTTTCACTATTTTATGTTCTATCCTGGCTCTAAAACTATTTTTATGGATTTTTTAATGGCCTCTAAAGTTTTCCACATCCTTTTAAAAATGTAACCAATACTGTAAATGTAATTAGTTGTATTGAGGAATCATCTGACCAATAGTGGTAAAATGCCTTTTTATACTCTTACCATGGCTTTATGTATTTATACTACAAAAAATGTCATTAGTCTTTTTTACTACTGTATCACCTTTCACCCTTATGACCAATTTCCTGTCTCCTAACTCTTGCGCAGAATCACTAATTTCTGAAATGCAGTTCCCACTTCTATAATTACGACCCCTGCTACCACACATATATGTTAATATTTGAATATAAGTAATTGAAGTAATTTCGTGAGTAGTAGAACTTATGAGCCTGGTTTGCAATTGTTTTGTCAGATTTGTGAATCCTCTAGTATCTTACAGGATGATGAGCCTTTTTCTGCTAGTTTGGCAGATATAGTGTTTTTGTTCCTGGTGAGAGCTTGGTGTCCAATAATGAGTCCAACTTGAGGTTTTCAGGTACCTAACATCATTCTGCCAGTGGGGTCTCTCTTTCCCTCATCCACTTGCCAACTATTTTCTCAAAACATGGGAAATTTATATGTGTGAAATTACTACTCTTCTAAGAAACTGAATTTGATTTGAAATTTCCAAAGATTAAAAAAATTAGAAGTGAAAACTGAATGCAGAGATCCTCAGATAAGACACATACACACCACACCTGCATAAATGTGTTTTTTGTCCATTTATACATTCAATAAAAGTATATTCATTATTTTATTTAAATATATCAAGTTGGACAAACAAGGGGGGAAAGCAATGTATTAATCTTCATGTTCACATCAAATGTAAGATAAAAAAAATATAGATTTAGCTTAGCATGCAAGCTCTTCAAATCCTGTAATTGCTTTATAGCCTTCTCTTATTTTAAAGTAAATTTAGCTTTCAAACATGAGTCAAATATAACCAGTGCATCTATACAAATGTGAGTCTTCAGAGCACCTAAAATTAAGAGCTGAGCATTGCTCACAATCCTAGTAGGTGATATTGTCAGGGTTCCCTTGCTCCTGTTGGAAAAATTGTCAGCAACACCCAGAAAATAGACTGCGAGGATGTGGCAAAAGTAGGAAATTTGGTCAATTAACGAAGAAGATATAGTCTGGCTGTAGGGCTCTCTTAGATGGGAGGTTTCTGGTTGCATGGAAGGCAAAGGGGATCACTGCTGCTTTGCAGTTTCTCTGGCCTGAGGATTTACCGGGCAGCTATGGCTGTATTTTGTGTTACTGTCCTAGCATGAATAACTGATGTAAGATCAAATTGTGTCCTTTTAGTGTTTGAAGGCCCTAACTGGACCTTCAGTGTGGGGGTTAAAAGCGGCACGGACTCCAGCAGGCACGACAACCAAAGACCTTTATTGCTTTTTGTTAGCATCCTTTATAGCAAGCAGAAGTGTACACGTGCTACCTGCAGCTTGCAGATAGGTTATAGCCTTGTGTTCACACGCATCTATGCTCTAGCAGATTGGCCCGTTCTTCCTGATCATGCGAAATGCCTTCATGGCCTTTATCTTGTTTTTCTCCTTCCAGCTGTACATTCCTTTTTCTGTTATCTTCTGCTTATGTGCCTTCTCATGCCAGGTGGTACAGTGTTTGCTCATTAAAATCAAACTCAGGAATGTCCGTTAGTGAGATTCCCATCCCCATAGGCAGGTTATTTTCCCTCATTCCCATCTTTTTCTGAAGTAAACATCACAGTTGTTATAATCATGAAAAAGCTGATTTTTTTTTTCCTTGTACACATATTACTTTATATAATAGCCTTCTCATTTCCCTGTTCCGTGTTGGTAGCTCTGAGCATTTAATCTGGTCTACCTGAGCCTCCTGAACCCCAAAGCAGTGTTCTGAAGGAGGCTGTCGTGGTTTAATTTCAGTCGGCAACT